CCCCAGGACAGGGTATGTCAAGGACTGAGGGCTGTTCAGGGCCTGGCTGGGCAGCCTGTTACTCCCTCTGGCCCTCGTAGGTACTGGCAGGTGGCTTGGTGCTCCTCTCAGCTGCCCACCATGGCCCGGGGACTGCCCAGCACTGCCAGCCTGGGGCGCTTCTGCCAGAAGCTGAACTGGCAGAAGACACTGAAGGAGTCCACCAGGGAGACGTCACTGCAGCGCCACCTGACCACGCTGGACCTGACCCTGCTAGGTGTGGGTGCCATGACGGGCTTTGGCCTCTACGTGTTCATGGGCATTGTGGCCAAGGCGATGGCCGGCCCTGCAGTGCTCGTGTCCCTCAGCGTGGCTGCTGTTGCCTCCCTGCTGGCAGCCCTATGCTACGCAGAGTTCAGAGGACTTGTGCCCACCACAGGCTCTGCCTACCTGTTCACTTATGTGTCCATGGGCGAGCTGTGGGCCTTCCTCATTGGCTGGAACATGCTCCTCCGGTGCCTCATTATTGGCACCACTGTGGCCCGCACCTGGAGCGGCTACCTGAATGCCATCTTCAGCCACCACATCCGCAGCTTCATTGAGGCCCATGTGGGCATCTGGCAGGTGCCCTTCCTGGCCCAATACCCAGATTTCTTGGCTGCTGGCATCATACTTTTAGTCTCTACATTCGTCTTTTGTGGAGTCCGTGTCTTTTCCTGGCTCAACCGCACCGTATGTGCCATCAGCTTGGTCGTCATCCTCTTCACCATCATCCTGGGTTGTGTCCTGGTCCGCCCACACAACTGGAGCACAGAGGAGGGGGGCTTTGCTCCCTTTGGCTTCTCTGGCATCATGGCTGGTGCTGCCACCTTCTTCAAAGCCTTCGTGGGCTTTGGTGCTATTTCTGCCTCCAGTGAGGAGGCCCAGAACCCAAAGCGAGCTGTGCCTATGGCCCTCGTCATCTCTCTTGGCCTGGTAGCTGGTGGTAACATCCTCGTCTCCACTGTGCTCACCCTCATGGTGCCCTGGCACAGCTTGGACCCTGACTGGGCTCTTGCTGATGCCTTCTACCAGCGGGGTTATAGCTGGGTGGGCTTCATTGTGGCAGCTGGCGCAATCTGCGGTAAGGGATCCTTCCAGGTAAGGTGGGAGGGGACACGGAGGTGGGTCCCTGCCCTAAGTCTCCCAGGGAACACATCTCCATCTAGACCTGTGTTCCCAGTTGCATCATGGGCCCAGGAAGGGGCTAATGTTTAGACTCTCCACCCAGGCTGGTTGGGAGGGACCTACTCACTGCCACTCCCAATTGTAAATAGAAGGTCAGCTCTGGGCACGTGCTTTCAAATCCTTTCCTGGAGGAGGGACTCAGCCCTCATCAGACTCTCCAGTGGGTCTGTCACCTAAACTGGGGTGTCCCATTCCTGGGTGGTGAGGGGGAAAAATCCAGCACCCCACCTACAGGCAGGCTCGCTCTGAGAGCTCAGAAAATCTCATGCCCATGTTCCCAAGGGGCCACCCACGCCCTGGCCCCCAGCAGCAGCCCCTGGTGGGCCTGTCCACCATGCTGACCAGTCTCCCACCCTCTGCCACAGCCATGACCACTCTCCTGCTCAGCAGCCTCACTTCTCTGCCACACATCGTCTCTGACATGGCCGCTGATGGGCTCTTCTTCCAGGTGTTTGCCCACGTGCACTCCCGGACACAGGTGCCCATGGTGGGCATCCTGGTGTTCGGGGTCATCATCGCTTTCCTGGCATTGCTGCTGGACCATGAGGCACTGGTCCAGTTCCACTCCATCAGCTCGATGCTGGTCTACACCTTCACGGCCACGAGCATTATCATGCCATGCTTCCAAAAGGCCCCTCCATCCAGTGCCCCGGGCCCAGCCAGCCCTGGGCGCACAGAGCAGGCCTCAGCCCCTGAGCCCAGGCAGCTGCGACCAGCCCTGAGGCCCTACCTCAGCTTCCTGGGTGGGTGTAGGCCTGGAGCTGCCGTGGCTTGGGCACTCGGTGTCCTGGTGGCCTCGGCCATCACTCTGGACTGCGTGCTGGTCTTCGGGGACTCAGCCCTGCACCTCCCGCTCTGGGGCTACACCCTGCTGCTCCTGCTCAGCTCCGTCATGTTTCTGCTCAGTCCCCTCACCCTAGGGGCCCACCAGCAACAGCGCCGGCAGGACACCTTCCAGGTATTCCTCCAGCCAACCCCCCTCACTCTCAGCCCAGACAGCTCCCCTCGCCCCTTCCTCCTCTGCCGTGGCAGGGTGCACCAGGGCTCACAGGGCGGGGGAGGCCAGTACCCCACCCCTTCTTTCTGCATGGTGAGTGGGTACTTGCCTCCAGAATCTCCAGAGGTGGAGAAAGGCTCTGTGGACTCCCAAGAAATCAGGCCTTGGGCCAACAGACCTTCCCACAGCCAGCCCAGCCCTGCCCTTGCCCCCTCAGGTTCCTATGGTGCCCCTGACTCCAGCCCTGAGCATCCTCCTCAACATCTTCCTCATGCTGCATCTGAGCTCCCTTACCTGGCTGTGCTTCTCCATCTGGCTGCTGATCGGTGAGTGAGGCCAGGCTGGGACCCGGGTGGGCTGCAGGAGGAGGGCAAGCAGGGAAGCAGGGGTGGGACCTGCTCCTCAGGCTTGTGCCACCCTTGCAGGACTCGTCGTGTATTTTGGCTACGGCATCCGGCACAGAAAGGAGAACCAGCGGGAGCAGCCGGAATTCACTGCCACACGTGACAGCCTGGAGGAGACAGTGCAGCCCCTGCAGCTGCCCAGCCAGTCAGTGGCCCAGGAGCCCACCCTCATGGATCAGCCCGCCAGTCCATGAGGACTGATGGGGCCTACCTGCCTTCCCCACCTGCTTGGGAGGCAGGAGGGGCTGACAGCCCCTTCTATCCGAGGCAGCTCAGGTTTACAGACCTGCCCATGCTGGGGCGTCCTCAGGACCTCAGGACCTTAGCCCTGGTGCTGAGCATCGAGTCTTTGGGAGTAGGCCGTAGCCAGTGCTGGTGTGGTGGACTCTGCCCAGCACCTTCCAGTTTATGACCAACTCCAGCTACCTGGGCAGGTGGAGTAGGGCGGGCAGGGAAGAGGCTCCCAGCCCCAGGGATCCACAATAATAACTGCTTGGCCAGCCATGTGGCCTGTTGCCATGTACACTGTGGCGTTCTTTGTGGCACTGAGTCCTCACCTGCCCCCAGGAACCAAGTGTTTGTCTCCAATCCGGAACAAAGATGCCGAGGATCCATAAGGTGGAGGCACCAGCCCTGGGACAGCCTGAGTCAGGGACATGGCCAGGCCTGGGTCTCAGGGTCCTGCCCTCAGGCCATGCCCTCTGCCCAGCTCAGAGGGGCCTATACACACCAAGCACAGAGTGGTCTCTGACAGGGCAGAGTCAGGGTCCCTCCCAGGCTCCCCACATGTCCCCTTAGGGGAGGATCCAAAGACAGACCCTGGACCCCAAGGAGCCCGCGTAGCAAGGGCAGTGGAGTTCCAGGGTTCCCTCGGTTTTCCAGGGCTCCCAGAGAGCAGGGCACCTGCCTGACACCTGCACCAAGATGTAGAGCCCACCTGCCTGGGCACATGCATCTCCCAGGCACAGGCCGACAGGCCCACACGGCTCCCCTGGGGGTGCACAGCCACATGCAGACTGAAGCACAGCTGGTTCCAAGCTCAGAGCTGCCCGCAGCTCCCCAGCTGCCTCTCTCCCTGCCTGCCCCTCAGGCTTTGTGATAAAGGCTCCGGACGGGACACACATGTGCAGGTGGGTGCACAAGCACCTGGGCCTCTCCAGGTACCTTCCAGTCCACCTGGTGGTGGTGGGGCCCCAGTCCTTGGGGGTCCCCAGACCCACCCTGCACTCCCATTGGTCTCCCTAAGGCCATGCTACGTCTACAATAGACGCCTCCCCCTCCCCGTTCCTGCCTGTAAGGGCCACACAGGAAGCTGCTGGCTATGGCAGCTTTACTCCTCGGCTCTCTGCAGCCCTGACCTCAGCTTTCTCTGGGCCCCAAGGACAACCAGGTACCTGTGACCCCGCTCCAAAAAGCAGGCTCAGGGCCGTGTTCTCTCACCCTGGCCCTTCTGAACCTGCCTCCCACGGACTTGGCTCTGGGGATTGAGAGGAGCAGGGACCCCCAAGGCTTTGCTGAGGCTCCAGGTGCTAGATGATTCCAGATGCTGCCCAGCCTGAGCCCCAGCCCTGGCCCTCCCCAACCTGGCCCATGTCACTCCAGCAGCAAGCTGCCAGCATGTCCTTGGTCACCAGGGACCCATGAGAAGGCAGCCTCTTGTCTCCCTGGGGTGGGTACCCCCAAATCCCTGCCTCTCCCTGGGACCAAGAGGGCTTGGCTCCTGTAGCCCCCATGCCTCTCCTCCTGACCATGGGCCCAGGGGCACAGGGAAATTCTCCAGCAGGCAGGACTCAGGCCCCCAGGAGGATTCCAGAACAAGAACTAGGCCAGCGTATGGGGGCTTCCATGTCGTCCTCTAAGGACATTCTTTCCAGCCCCTGGGCTCTACCTGGGGTCTTGGTCAGAGCGTGGTCCTCAAGCAGTTGCCTCAGGCTGGGGTGGGCAGCTGCCCAGACACGTTCTCAGGTGTGACCTTGGGCAGCAGTGACATATGTGTCCAGATATACAGCCTCCCCAACCCATGGCTCCCAGGAGCCGGGTGAGCAGGTTCCTGGGCAGTGGGCTGGGGTCACCAAGGAGACATACAGAAGGTCCCAAAGGACCCCATGCCCACCAGCTCAGCCCCTCCCCCCTCCCCATCCCAGCCCCTCACGGCCAGAGGGCTGCCACCAGGAAGGGGTTGGTGCTCACAAGCTGAGCAGGTTTGGGACCAAGAGGCGCCTGTGCCCTTGCCTGGGGTCCTAGGGGGTCTGATCCTCTGGCCACTGCACTCCTCACTCCATGGATGAGGCCCAGAGCTGGGAGGGGACCTGCCCTAGGAGCCCAGCCCCAGAGCAGCTGAGACAACTCCTCTTGTCAGGCTTCTTTCTTCCTTGCTTAGACTCTGGCTGCACAGACCCTGGGGCAGGGCCGGTGAGAGGGGAGAGGCTCTACTGTGAGGGGAGTGCTGGCAGGGGAGGAGGGCTGGGAGCCAGGCAAGGCCAGAGTAGACCACAGCCAGTGTGGGGACAGCTGGTGAGCGGGAGCTGCTGGGAACACTGGAGACAGACTGGGAGAGCGTTCTCCAGACCCAGACCCAGCAGGAGCCCCACTGGACCAGCGCCCTGCGTGGTGTTTCCCTGCAGGTCTCTATACAAAACTGGCTTCTGTCGTCCCAGCCAGCACCCTGCCAAGGCTGGAGTTGGGGGAGGGACAGTCTGTCCGGGAGCTAAAGGGTGGAATTCTCCCCCGACCCCTTGCTCTGGTCCTGCTAGGGCTTCATCCATGAATCCTGAGGGTGGGGTGCCAGCCTTCCCAACCCCCAGTCCCTAAAGAGAAGAGAAAGGCTACAGGCCTGAGGAATGGGCTAGAGAATGGGTTCCAGGGCCACCCTGATGATGGTGTCCAGCTCCCAGCAGCAGCAGTGGGGCAAGTGCTGGGACCCCTCTAAGGCACCTGGGCAGCTGGATGTGGGGGTGGGGAAGCTGTCTCTGTGTGCTCAGGGTTGGCAGTGGCCTTCGGGGCCTTTGCCTGCAGATGAGGACAGCAGGCCGGGGCTCCAGCCACCATCCTCCAAAGTGTGGCCCAGGGTCCAGGCAGGCCCACAGCTCCCCTCCTCACACTTGGTCCTCCAGGGGAAATGGGCTTCCCCATCCACGTACAGCAGCAGCAGGTCACAGGAGAAGGTGAGCTAGGAAAGGCAGGGCAGACCCACGTCCTGGCACCCACCCTGCCATCCCCCCATCTCCCCTGCCCTCACCCCGAGACTCATGTTAGCACAGGGGCTCAGATGTGCATTCAGGGGGCACATGCTACCAGCAGCCAGAGGGAGCCACGTTGGCCAGACTCACCACACCCAGCCAAGCCGCTCTAGTGCCCAGAGTGAGGGTTGTGGGGATGAACCCGAACTCCCTGCCTGAGGGAGACCTGGGCTGAGCCTCCCCTGCTGTGGCTGTTGCTTGCTCCCACCCCTTACCCCTGCCACACCCACCCCAGCCTGGCCCCTAAGTGCCCAGTGATGAGGATGTCGAAGGATCTCATAGAGCTGGAGCCTGTAGCCTTAAGGGCCTCTACTCCTGAGGCCTCCCACCAGTGAGCGGCTGTCCTGGGGCAGGAGAGGGTCTAGTGACCTGCTCTGCCCACTCCTGGGCTGGGCTGCCCCTCACAGGCCTGGTCTTACTCATCCATTGACTCCATCACCCCCAGCCCGAGTCCTGGGTCTCAGCCCTGTGTCATTGCTGAGGACACAGGGGACAAGCAAGCTGGGACCTGCCTCTCAGAAGCTCCCTGCCTGCTGAGGGGATGGGGACAGAGGGTCCCTAAACAGACACCAGCAGTTGGGGTGGGGGAGTGGGGGCAGGCCCGGGTTTGTGAGGGTCCAGAGAGGGGCACTGACTCTCCCCTAGGAACCAGGGAACACTTCCTGCCAAGAGACTCTCAGACTGGTTTCCCAAGGGTCAGGAAGGAGTTCTAGGCAGAGACATAGGGCGGGCGAGAGCACAGGGTGAGGGGAGAAGGGCGTGGGTGGTGTCCAGCCCCACATGGTTGCAAAGGGCTGGGGAGGTCAGTGACACCAGGCCTGGCCGGGCCCAGCGAGCAGTGTCAGGGGCTTCACCTCCACACCTGGTGGCTGTGTGCACATATGTGTGAGGGTGTTGAGGTGACATAAGGTGACAGAAGGATGGGGTGTCTGCTTAGGAGACTCAGACAGGACAATACATGCAACACAAGATCCTTGAGTGCATCCTGGATAGGAAAATAAAACGATTTAGGACTGTTATTGGCACAGTTGGGGAAATTTACATATTAGATTTATCCACCAATGTTAGATTTCCTGAGTGTGACAAGAGGCCAGTGGTCACCCGGGGAAGCTCCTCATTCTCAGGACAGCGTTGAGAAGGTGAGTTCCGTATCTGCCACTTACTTTCCAGCAGTTTCCTGTGAAATCTATCTACATATATCTGGCTCACTCTAGAGAGGGAGGAAGAGAGCAAATGGGGAAAACGGTAAACAAATAAAATAAAATAAACCACCCTGGTAAACCCAGATGAAGCTATATGGGTTTTCACAGTACCGATCTTTTAAGTTTTATATAGATTTTTGTAATTGTTTAGATAAAACCTTAAGGGAAAAGTAAAGACCCTGCTGTTTCATGGAGCGCGATGCTGGGGGCAGGGTGGAGCGGAGGAAAGGTGTGGGGTGAGGGGTACCTGCTGCAGCAGGGGTGTGGGGGACACACGGGTGGAAGCCAAAGAACTCAGGAGAGAGGCAGGATGGAGACTTGCTGGGGGGCCTGGAGCTGAGAGCACCCCCTCCTGCCCTGGGGACCCCTCACACACACAGCAGATCATCCAGAGGGATGGACCAGGCTGGGCTTGTCCCAGCTGCCACAGGAGGACAGGTGGAGGGGCACCTGGCTGAGGAGCAGCAGGTGGGCAGTGGGGCCGCACCTGAAATTGGGTAGCTCCTCTCCCGCAGCTGGAAGGAGTTACGGGGCCATAGTCGGAACCCCCAGCGTCCGGGTCACAATCCCAGCGGACGTGGGTGCCCACAGCCCCACCCTGCACACAGCACATCACTAGTCCACCAGCACGCAGCCAGGGACCCTCTCCCCGAGCCCTCCCAGAACTCTGTCCCCCAAGGAGCCACCAACACCGGGTCCTCACAGACCCCTCCAGCCATGGCCACGAGGTCCCAGATGCAGAACATGGGGCAGTGGGGTTGAAGCGTGGGTCACAGTGGCAGCACTTGAAATAGGCAGCATCCTACGTCTCCAAGGGATTGGATCTAGGAAGGAGTGGGACCAGGGGGTAAGGCCAGGCAGGGGACAAGGAGGATCTGGGGCAGCCAGGACCCCCCATGCTGACCTGGAGAAGTTGAACTTGCTGAAGGTGACAGTGTTTTTGATGAATAGCGTGAGGTTCTCAGCATGGAGCAGCAGGGGCTTCCTGCAGCGGGGGGAGGTCAGGGGCAGGCTCTGCTGGTCCTGGGACCTGCCCTGGGCGTCAAGGACACTTACACGGGAACA